GTTTTCTTCAATAGAGGTCGACATGATGGAGGTTCGTGGAAAGGATGTTCGGGGAAATCAGGGTTTATATCTTCTTCCAGATCGTTTCAAGCTCCGTTTGAATCATGCTTATCTTTTGTTTCGTTAACTCTTTATCTCCTATCAAGGTTCAATCATGAGGGCTTATCGATGCCTCGTTCTCGCTATCAGAGGGAAGTGCCGTGATAGGTGCGTTCTTTCCTTTATCCTTTGTTGGTTATCAAGGTTCAGGAATCTTCATCAGAGGGTGCTAGTCATTGCCATGATGGGTCGGGTTCTCGAGGGTTCCGCGGGCTTGCAGGAGTTTCCGAGGAGTTCGTCTCTTGATAGTTTAGGCTCGTTCCGGAGGTTCGTTTCTTTCTAAATCTTTCGTTTAATATGATTTTTGTGTCATGACGTGGATTTGTTGAAGAAGTGGTAAAAGGGGTCCCAGAGCTTGCAGGAGTTTCCTGGGGTTCGTCCTTTCTTCTAGTTTTACGTCATCTCGGACGTACGTGTTCTTGATCTTTCGTTTTGGTCGAATACAAGATCTGGGGTATGTCGTTTCGAGATGTTCTTATTGTAGATTTCTCGGTCGGCGTTCTAGAGGGTTCCATGGGCTTGCAGGAGTTTCCACGGAGTTCGTCTCGTGATAGTTTAGCGTCTTTCCGGACAGAGGTGAAGGTAAGGCATCCGGGGCTTGCAGGAGTTTCTCGGCGTGTTAGTCTTGTCTTCGAGGTGAAGGGGTCCATATCTCTGGGTTCGTCCTTCTATTCTCAGTTTAGAGTCGTGATGGACTCGGGATAGTTTAAGGTCTTTCCGGACCGAGGATAGTTTCAAGTCATTTCGGACTTCTGCGCAGTTTATAGTCGTGCCGGACTCGTGGCGATTGTCGATATTTATAGATAGGGTGCGGCCGGGGTGAGGGGAATTAAGAGTAAAATGAGGTTTTAAATGAGAATTTCACCCCCCAAGTAAGCCGATTGATCACCGATCAAATCTAAAAATCTAAATCAAGGTTTCCGCAGTCAGGGTCAGACTGATCCGTGACTGGTGCGATCTCTCCCTGGAATAATCTAACATCCACAGGGTCGTCCTGGCGGGGACAGTGTCTTGCGATACGCTTTATCGTTCGCTGAAAGTAGTTTTGCTGTTTAATCCGATCTACTTCCATCGGAGTCGTCGCGGGTTCTTCTGCTATGGCAGGGGCCGCGGGGGCAGTTCTAACGATTATCTCATCGTTATCTTCATCGTCAGTTTCTTCCATCATTTCCTTATCGGCTGGTGTGGACACGAGGAATGGGCGAGTGACTGGTGCGGTTCTCGATCGTTCTGGGAAAGAAACGATCGGCTCGGCTCGGTTGATCCATTGATCAGCGGCCGGTTCGTCTTCTGCTAGTTTATACTCGTGGCGGAGTTTCTTTGGTGACGGCGCTTCTGCCGTAACTACCGATCTACCTTTTCCAAGAACCGAAGCAGGTTCTGCTGAAAAGACGTACTTCTGAGTTTTCTCCGGTTCAGGGGCCGGTCTGTGGATCTTTGCACGAGGTGGTTCCTCGTCGAAAGTGGCTCTGCCTTTTCCTAAGATCTTGGCAGGTACTGCAGAAAATTTAAATTTGTCTGCGGGTGGTGAGGTGGCAACTAAGTCCGACTGTCTCGTGGACTTCTTCTCGACGTTCTGGGATGTCGAGGCGTGGGGTTCCAACGGCTTGGTAGCCGGTGCATACTCAAGGATTTCGTGGAGTTTCTCGATCGGGTTTAATGTCGTTTCGAATTTCCGTTGTCCCGAAGTTAGTTTCGACTCGTTTCGGAGATCTTCCATCGGCGAATCAGCCGGTTCTGGTAGTTTAGCCTCATTTCGGAGGTTCTGCGTGACAGGTGCTTCTGTCAGATCTAGTTTATACTCATCTCGGAGTTCTTCTTTCTTCTTCGTCAGGGTGCCTACCTCCCTTCTTTGGCGCGTGCTGCGCGTCCTCTTTTCTCTACGGAAGAGCGGCTTCAGCCCGTTCCTCTTCCTACCTCTCTCAATCATTCTCTCAAGTCCTTTCGACTTGTCAGTGGCAGGGATGGTTACCGTACCTTTCTTCCAATCTATGGAGGGTTTCACAGCGGCCAGCCATGTGAATCCGAGTAAGATGTCGTCTAAGCGCGGCATTATGAGGAATCGTCCATGCATTACTCGGTCATCGATCTTTATGATGAGTCGGCAGAATCTTTTGACGTTGCCTCCTATCGTTCCGTCTCCGTTCATTACCCTTTTCGGTTTCTGAAGGAGGTGCGTTCTAATGCGATATTTCCTGCAGAGTTCTCTGCTTATAAATGAGTCGCATGCGCCCGAATCTATGACCATGGTGGTCGTAATGGGCGGCTTAATGATGGACATTAGGGTGGCGGCAACCCGTAGTTCTTTCTTCTTGGATACGCTGTTCTTGTTAATTATTATCAGCGGTCCAGTCTTCTCCTTACCAGCCGCTGTCTTGCGGACTGTTTCTTCTTCGATAATCTTTCTCCTCATCGGGCACTTGTGGTCGTTGGCTTTATGTCCAACGTGATGGCAAGAAAAGCATCGTCGTTGCTTCAGGTGGTGTCTTGTATCCATTCCTGAAAGGTTGGCGGCGGCGTCGGTATTTCTTCTGATCATCATGATCTGTGTTGGTGCGTTCATGGTAGAGGGAGTAGTGCGAAGGGACAGTGATGGGCTTAAGGATTCAAAGCTTCGTGCGTCTGTCTTGACAACTTGTGGATAGCTTTACGCCGGTCTCGGCGATTTGGTCACGAGAGTAGAGGTCTACGCTTGTCTCAGCGGTGCGGTCGGTATCGATTCAACGGCGGTGCGTGATGAGCAGGGCCGGGAATGTGAGACTTTAATCTTTTGTTACGGACTAGGATAGTTCGAGCTCTCCTTAGGCGGATTGCCTAATCTGATAGCGGGCTCGCTATTGGAGAGACGGGGATCTTCTCTCGAATGAGAGGTTCGGGGGTTCCACTTAAGGTAGCGTCGGCTTTCCTTAAGGTGCGGCTTAGACTGAGTGATTGGGATGATCACACAGAGGAAGTTCTGATGAAAACCTAGTAGATTAAAGTAAGGAACATCTACTTTAATCCTCGTCCTTATATAAGGCTATTCTATCGTATCTAAGCTCAGCTTGAAGCTGGGTTCTAATCTGCTTATCTATCGAGTCAGAGATAGCATGCATGAGGCAGGCTTCTATCTAAGATAGGACCACGAGGTGTCCTTCTATCAGTGCATGAGGCAACACGAGGCTTGCCTTCTATCTTGATAACATAAATAGGTCTTCTAGACCTATGTCGTCATGTGTGTCGTCAGCAGTCCAGACTGCTTATCTAAGCCGGCAGTTGCCGCTTATCTTCTTTTATCATCTGTGGCCTACAGGCCTGGTTTATCGTCTATGGTCTCCGAGGTTTCTGAGTTCGGGTATGTGTCGCTGCCTTTGCAGGGCAAGCAGGGGTGGTAGAGGGGACAGCGTAGTTCACTGTAACAGGTGGTAGAGGGGACAGCGTAGTTCACTGTAACACCTGTACCCAACCACATGGGTATGGTGTGGTATGGGTACAGGTATGGGTGTAGGCTTGGATACCCATGGGTTACCCATGCTATTCTCTACATGATACCAATGGTTCCTGATTACAATCTATTTCAGAAATTTGTGACATATGGAAAGCATGTACTTATGGCCAATGTTGCACTTTGCATGCTTTTCATACTTTACAGTGTTATCACTGCCAGTGACCTGACAGCAACTTGGGCAAAAGTACTATTGTATTTCTGGGTAACCAGTTCATAGCTAAGTTTGTTATATGATGTTTGGTCTGGAAAAATGAGCCAAAATATGTCTGTGTATGGCTCAGTGTGGTTCACCTCTGTATTTCCGTGACTGAGCGTGGCTGAGGCATGTCACGAGTTTTAACTGGGTGTCCTAGGGGGATTAAGGTGAATGTTGAAACTGGGACAGCTTGAGAGAAAATGGTGTGGAGCCTGAGGGCATCTAGGAATTCGAATTTCTGGGTCTGTCCGGCACTATAATTTGTATGCAAAGGAGCAACAAAGGAGTATGACACTAATATATACATTACACGAACATCCGAACTGCAGCGCAGTGCACAGATGTGGTCCGAACTATTTCAGAGATACCCTCGTGAGTCACGAGTACAAATATGTAACAGTTCAGAATCTGCAACAAATCTGCAAGGTTCACAGTCGAGTCCATTGCAATTGGCAGGCAAGCACAGAAATGTAGCACCTTTGATGGAGGATGAGAAAGCCAGTTATTGGTAGTAAGTGAGCACAAAAGTGTAGCGGAAGAAAGCCAGCCAGCCCGGTGCACAAGGAGGACAGGCAAATGCCCAAACCATACTGTAGAGATATGACACTAGGTTCGTCACAGGTCACAGCCATCAATGAATCGAACCTATTTAGTGTGACTGTCACACCAAATTTTTGGGAGCCGAAGCTAATTTGTGACATGTTGTAAAAACATATGGAAAAACATATGAAAAAAAAAATTGTTTAGTTAGATTCTACCTGTTTCTTCTCAGCTTTACAATATGACATGAAGCAGACAAGAAGCCTTGATGAGTACAAGGTGCAGCAATCACAATTCATGAAGCTATTTTTTGTGCAGTCACAGGTCACATGGACATTCGAACCTGTGACACAACGTGTGACATTATCACACATCGCACGTGACGAAGCTAGTGTCGAATCTCTACAGTATCTATAACTACACAAAGCTGTAACCCGACAAGGCAAGGCTGGTATATTGCTAAATTAATATTGTGTTTGAGACAGTAACGAGTCGTAAAAATGAGCTCATTGTGTGATGCGACGTTAAGAACTGACAAGTTGTGCACAGACGGATCCGGACAGACCCGCACGCAGCCGGACGGAGACTGCCGGAAATTCGGATTCCCAGACTTTTTGTGGAGCCTGGGCTCGTCTTAGTCAGCAGGGCCTTGAAAGAATGACGTGCGGCGGAGTCCGTGGGAGCCTGTGGGAGCTCTTACTTGAATACTCAATATGTTGTCCACCGCAAAATCTGCTCTGCGGCCCTCTCTGGCTCGTCTATTTGCCGCTTCCGCGACCAAAAGGTCTCTTCACACTCTTCCGGACCTACCTTATGTTTACAATGTTGGTGTTTCTTCATATATGAGTGCAGAGGATGCATCTGAAGCTTAATGGTTTAGGCTCTTGAGCCATACATCTCCGAGGCAATAATGAAGCTCCATCACTCTAAGCATCATCAGACCTACGTTAATGGACTTAATGCCGCAGAGCAATCTTATGCGAAGTCACCTTCCGTCAAGGAGAAGATTGCCTTGCAGTCAGCACTGAAATTCAACGGCGGCGGTAGGGCTCAAGCTCAAGGCTTCTTTTCTTGAAAGTTTGACTTTGTGTCATCTAGGCCACATCAACCATTCGTTGTTTTGGAAGAATCTTTCGCCCTCTAATGCTGACGGCGGCAACCTTCCCGATGGTCCCCTGAAAAAAGCAATTGAACGTGACTTCGGATCTGTGGAAGAATTCAAGAAGCAGTTCAATGCTGCTACCGCAGCTATCCAGGGTAGCGGATGGGGATGGCTCGTAAGACATTTCACAGGTTGCATCATTTATATTATTGACGTTGGCGTGCGAAGGGCTACAACTCTGCCACCAACAGGCTTGAGATCGTTACGACCGCCAACCAAGATCCTTTACTTTGTACGTAGGTTTTGAAGTTGGACGGGATACCCCCCTGACACATTTACGCAGCTCATACACCCATTATCGGCGTTGACATTTGGGAACATGTAAGTGTGACTGGTCACCAGCCTACGGTAGTCCACTGACGTTAGCTGTTCACAGGCTTTCTACTTACAGGTATGTAATGATATGGCACATAATGGAGCTATATTTCATGTTCATTTTTCTCTTTTCACAGTACCAAAATGTCAAGGCAGATGTACGTGTCCCTCTCTCTCTGTTCGAGGATTACGGCTCATACGTATGCAGTACCTCACCGCAATTTGGAACGTCATCAACTTCAAGGAGGCAGAGCAAAGGTTGGCTGAGGCTGCCAATTAGCTCAGTTGTTTGTGTGTGTTTTTGCGTCATTGCATAGTAAACTTCCGTCGCATAATGTGATACGTTCTTATGAAGTTGAACACACGTTAAAGTTGCAGTTAAGTACCAGTCTACATATGTTGTTTGCTTCCACTGTATTATCTGCAACAAAATTTAGCTTTTTCGAGCTCTGGTGGAATACAAACCTTCCGTAGCAAAACGGATTATGCAGCAATTCTCCAGGAAATTATGATCAAGGTGTATTTTATGACAGCCGTTTGTGAAGATTCCCGGTGGCGAGGTCAATATGATCCAGACTATAACAGAGTATTTGCAGGGTAGGGAATTGGCCCGTCAGAACATCCACAATGTTACGCATGTTCTTTTCTCATGTTCAGAATACCCATTCTGCGACTGTCTCGTATAGCCTATGTGGGCAGATCATATATCGAGCACTGCGCCCGCTCGGTGCGCATTACGTTGTCTCGCTATGGGCGTTTACAAGCAGTCCGATTCACGCAACTTCGGTTCAACCCGAGGTTCGGTAGACGAATTAGCCCGATAGTTATGTGAGTGTTCTGCGGGGTCATGGCTGGGATGGGCCCCCGCTCAAAATTTAACATTAGGTCCTGGAATCTTTTCAGACCCTTTGTTCGGCAAAGGATTGGAAATACCCGAAGGCCCTTAACCATTGACATCTGGTCCCAAATTGCCCAAGCAGGCATGCACTCTAGCGGAAATTAGGACCTTGAAGTTTGATAAAAATTGTCCACGAATGACAGGGCATCTCACTTTAACCACTGGCATCGGTTAACGATCACGACTGTTCCTCGTAGGCGGTCATCGAGATCAATAATCTTCTGGAAAAAGTAGATGTCTTATCCCCACGTCCATGTACGACAAGGTCCTGGAAACTAGCCGAATCCCGAAAATTGCACATGTGCACTCTTCGAGAGCGCCACCGGCCTCTACGTGGTGAATATAAGCGCTTTCTAGCATCCTCTTCCTTGCTGAAGCATGTGCTTATTTACTAGAACGTATTAGATGGGCTAATTATAAAGTTTTCATTTTTCAATCTGACTGATATGACTGACGTCGCTATAGGGCCCTGACGTGCCCTGACACGCTCACAGCCTTTCCTTCATTATCACGTTTCCTTTCATTCTTGATATAGACGATACATAGAGCCTCATCAAGCCTACTGGGTCAAGTTAAGTATAGTTGTCCTTGAGCTGTCCATCGAACCGAGATTCATTGACACCGCCACACCACAAGACAGGCTTCTAAAGTTCTACCGCTATGTCGCATTACAACTGATGATAGTGGCGAAACTCACTAACGGTGTTGATCATTAAGATAGATCGGTTAGATCATGATGCATAATGGATGATCTATTTGAGCTTTGGACCCACTGCGTTTCATTTTACTGTGCTATGATAGTATTCAGCACTAACCGATAGCAGTAATGGGCCTTTGATTGGGCATTCAACTTTGCAAGTCGTTGTGGAGTGAGTCCTAAATCAAGGACACACAAACACTTTGCCATACATTGTGGTTTTAGGTGAGGGCCGACGTGTTGCCATTCGGTCTCATAGCTCAGCGCTCAGGAGTTCAACACCTTGTTTCATGAGGCCGGCTTGACCGGATCCGAGTCGGATGTAACTTGATCTAAGTTTCAGTTAGTATTCAGCACGAACAAGCGAGTGATATGCTCTACTTATGTAAGGTACAAGGGTGGCCGTTAGTGCTGTAGTTGTAAAATTGAGCAATGTGTCATGAGACACTCGGACCATGGATGAGGCCTAGGTTGTTTGAGTTCAGTGATGGTGCGATATATGGTGCCACACACATCATAGAACGTAGAGAGCTGGATTAGTACAGAACTGATGGAAATACCCAGCATCGCGACAAGGCCGAGTCGCCACTTCCAAAGTAGTGTGTACAATATCGAGACCCCGTCACGGCGCTGTGTGACTCAACTATCTCACCTAAATCTGCTTCAATCGTTGTCGTTCAACCTCACAATAGAGAGAGAATGATGTCTATGTTGTTTTGTGTTGGAGGACTACCAGTTTTGAGAAAGTGCCAATGCTAATACCAGAATAACCATCGGACTTCCAAATTCAAGTCGGGCAGTTCCTATCGTCCACTATATGCACAGTTCTTCAGAGTTCTTCCCGGACTTTCCGCACGAAGCAAGCTGGTTGAGACACACTATAATGTACGTTGAAAGTTTTTTTTTATTACCCCAAGTGGTTCGTTGCGTGATGACACCGGAGCAGATGATTATTTCCATGAGTGGTTGAACTGGTATGTAGATTCAATTTTGCTGGCAGAGGGTCAGCGGCTTAATCATACACAACGTCAAAAACCTGACGGAGACAAATACCTCCTACAGACCAACGTCTCGATACATTGCTGCTGGTACATACGCATGGGGACAAACCCCTATGTCGCTTCTAGTACGCCCGATACGGCACTCGTGTCTGGTGAGATGCGTTAGACCAAACGCAGCTTAGCTTGATCACTCGATGGCTACCGGAAGATCTTGGCTGACCAGGGCGATATGGTATGTAGCCGGAATCGGCGTTTATTCCAAAGGTGTCGAGGTCATCATCAATCTGCATTTGCTGCCCTGACCCCAAGACAAGGTGACCACACAGATTTGGCACAGATCGATCCCTTTCCAAGACCCCGAGTCTTCAGCCGTAATCATATCTAGGCTTTGTACTCGGACGCTAGTAAGCATCGTCATAGATGACGGCAGGCAGGCCAACTAGTAAGTACCGGCGGATGACAAGCGTGTGCCCCCCACATTTTTCTGGTATCTAAGAATACAACGCAGTGTGTAGCCTTGGAACTGACGGAGGGACTGTACACAGCTGGCGGCGGGCGCCCTGACATATTAGCGACGAGATATATGGTGCGGCAAGTATGTCCGAATCGCCGCCGACCAATTGCTTGATATATGTTCCGTATTTACCCAGTGGGAAATCGGCGTTCGGAATAATGGTTCGATTGGTGCAGTCACAGTACCCCCCGAAGACGAGTCTCGACGTTATGGGCCTCTGAGATCAGAGCAGTTCGTCATCCGGTATTAGTGTGAAGATTGCACCACTAGCACTTGTTCACCGAAAAGAAGACTTTAAAACCACGCTGGCGGCACGTTGCTGCCTCGTGTTCTTCTCATGCCGTTCACACATCCCGGCATTTGGTCTTCATGAAAAGTCTGGTTGGTTGGCACTATCCCTTGTCGATGTCTTTCTCGCTATAATGCGGCGCAAAGCACAACCGAGCCTTGTCAGCATCCGCGTTTGAAGTTGTAGAAGTCGGACCTACACTTCTATTCCCGTCACCACCCTTAGATCTAGATTCCTTGCCAGGTGACAACACTACACAATGCGAAGGAGAGTCAGGTCGCCGATCTCCTTTAATCCATCAAGGAGATCAAAGAATGAGATCCAGCATCTTGCATTACAAGACAACGTGAGCCTATACGTTCCGCCTCAAACGTCGTAGACATTTTCGGTGAGTCCTTCCGTGCCCTTCGCAATCAAAGATATCCCAAAATTTCCTCATTCATCTCGTTTGAGCACCACTCAAACCAGTTAGAGCTAACTGACATGTCAGCAGGCTTTACACTCTTCTTATCTCCAAGACACCCACCACTTGCCGAAAGATCGCAAATCAATCAAGGGTGCCAATGGGTCGTCCTTCACGTGTAATGTGTCGTGATGTACTGATGATGGTGTGGGCGTCGCCTCCTCAATTTATGTCTTTTTCATACACTTTCGTTTAAGAAGTCTAGCTTCGGACAGGACTGATATGAGGACCCCTCCCTTTCGGTTTTGAATAAGAAGGGCCAGATATCCTCTCCTCCTCCACTGTAACCCAAGTACCCATCTCGAGCAAGTCTAAGCTGTATATTCTGTGCAACACACTGTCCTCATAATCATCATGCAACGATACGAATCCCTTCCACCACAATTTTACCTTCAGGATCTAGCTGCCATCACTGGCCGGGTCTGCGAGCTCAGAGTCAATCCCCACCAAGCCGAGGCCGACTATGCAGCGCGCTCATGGTTCAACCAGTGTGTATCATTCACCGTCCATGGCTTATACTTTGCTTCTAACACAAATTTTAGAATAAGCGTGTACGATGATAGGAAGAAGTCAAAGTTCCTCAACTACGGCAAATTCGATCTCTTTGCTGCATTAAGCTTTCCAGACGCTGACTCTGCGCATCTTGAAACTTGTATTATGTTCTTTTTCTGGGCTTTTTCGGTGCACAAGCTAGTCGTTATTCATGCAGTTCTATCAACTCACATACTGGATTTTAGACCGACGATCTTTCTGACGAAGGCGACCTACAATCCAAACCTGACGCAGTGCAAGCTGGACATGATATCTCCGTTAGTGTTTACACAAACCCTGATGGTTCCCGCCCAAAATATCCATATGCTGCAATGTTGTACGAGTATGTATTCTCGTTGCTAAACCCTGTGACGTAACTTATGTGTGTGTTATCTAGCTTGCTAACGCGATTCCGCGGAACATCTACTATTGGAGCCTATAACCGGTAAGTTGACGCTGTAGTTCAAGGACTTTTATTTCTGATGCGGAACTCCGTTCAGGTTCATCAAGGCATTTGAGGCATGGAGTAGCTCTCAAGTATCACAATCTCGCAACCGTTCTCAAGACCGAATGCCCTCGGTTGAGGAATTCATTCTCATGCGTCGTGCGACCATCGGCGGCGCTCTTGTGGAAGGTGAGAATATTTCGTATTCCCCTCGGCCTCACATGTTGCTGAAAGTGTCACTTCAGCGATGATCGAGTATTCTCTTGACCTGGATCTTCCGGACGTTGTCTTTGACAATCCTATCATCAAAGCGATGTCAGACGCGACAACCGACCTTATGACATGGCCAAACGTTTGTTATTCACTTATTTGACCTTTTGACTTGGAGGCTCATGTTTTCTCTTGAAACAGGACCTTTGTTCTTTTAATGTGAGGAAAACGACATTGACCACTGGATCATACTGACTTGTTCATTCCTCTCCAGAAAGAACAAGCTGACGGCGATTACCAAAACCTTGTCTTCTGTATCATGCATGAACGTGATGTCGGCTTGCAGGAAGCTATTAACATTCTCACTGAGATGTTGAACCAACGCGTGGACGACTACATCAATCTCAAGAGCCAGCTTCCGTCGTTTGGTGCCGATGTAGATGCCGAGCTGGAAAGATACCTTCATGCGCTGGAAAACTTCGTGCAGGGGACCGTACTGTGGTATTATTTCAGCCCGAGTAAGTGCCGAGCGTCACTTTCTTGACAGCAAGCTTGACACGGTCTGTTGTACAGGGTACTTCCGCGGCGTCGATGTCACAAATCGCGAGTACCTCGTTGTGCCACTCTTCGAGAAAGGAGCATTCTAATGTGTGGCGCTCTGTGACATATCTTGTTTTTATTTTGTAAATAATGCTCATATTACGCGGGGTTTGTGATAACACATCTAATGAGGTTGTTGTTGTACTACTATGCGTATCCACTACCACTCAATTAATATGACCTGTTTGTGTATGTTCTGCGGTCCATAAGTCTAGACATCTTATGGGCCAACATTTCGCATAAATGTTACTGCGAGGCGGCTGCCAAATACAAATATTCCTATCAGGAGAACCAATTACCGAAGTATCGCATCTGCAGCACCATTTCAAGGTTAAATCCAACTAACCCCAAGAAATGAACGTGACATACACATAGAAGGCATCACTCCTCTTCAGCTACCCAAATCTCCTTGAGTATCAAAGGATATATGGCATCAGAACGTTGTCAGTACTAGCAGTAGAACCAAATCATTTGCACTGAACCAGAATAGTAACCAAGTATGTATATGAATTCTAAAGTAAGTACCAGTAGCGGCTAACACCGTGAGCCCTGACCGGATGATCGAGGATAACGTACTATTGATCCGACTTATGTTACATAGGACTTCTGCCGCGCGTAATAATTTTCCACTTCTACTTCTGGGGTCTTTTGAGTTCAAAAGGGACTGCTTGCAGTATCAGTATGTAAAAAAACTGGCAGGCAAGGGCGCGCAGGTGACAGGATTTGGAACTAGTCCCTGGTAATTAAAAATAAGTCTGCCAGTGTTTAACCTTTTCCCCTTGAATCCTACGTTTGCCAAATCCTGGGAAGTTTTCTGGAAGTTGATTCTTAAGCTTTCGATCTCTTTAACCCTCACGCAACTGGCAGGGGATTAAGGGATATGTCATTTCTCCTGGTATGTATCACGGTTTCACTTTCGCTACCGCATCGCCCATTTTGACAGGTCTCTGTTTTCTAGACTCAGAATACTAAGCTTGATTTAAGATTCACCATAGTGCAGATAGTGATATGCTAATTGCAATGGAAGGTTTAGTAGATTATGTCAAGCTATGGCTCGCGGCAGCCAATCGTGGCTTGCAGGTCCCTTGTTGTACTCAGCTGCATGCATCAGGTGGGTCTGTCGGCAATTAATGATTTAATTGACAGATCGGAAATTGCATTCTACAGATGCCTCGTGCAAATTCTATCTCTTATGGACAACTGGCAGATGCTGTTCATCTCTCGTTACGACTTTTGGAATTGAGCGCAGGCGGGATCCGGGACCCTCATCATGAGCTAAGTGTCACGTACCTGCCTATCTGGAAAACTCGTGGTTTTGATTTGCGAGCAAGGCCGCTGATAGACTCGCGGCTGAACAAGACCCTGAAGTTTGCATTTGCGGTCAGGCAGAGGCCGCTTCTGTAATGCCCGTTTTTCGGGTCTGACATGTATACCATCATTGATGGCAGAATACTGATTGTAAGTATTTTATCGAAGCAGTCGACACGTTAATGCATATCAGCATCAGGCAGACAGCTGATTTGATAGCAAATGACCTGAATGATGGTACGCTTGCTAATGAATCACATCGTGCACAATGCTCTTTTTGGGGTCATTTAACCTGGCAGATCGAGGTATTCCTTTCAGATCCTAATGCGCCAGAGGTGGCCAAACCAGAAGATGTGTCCGTAACAAAGCTGCTCAGTGACGACGCTCACCCGAACACTGATAGCTCATACGTGAGATTGGGATGATAATCCACCGGAGTTCGCAATCTTTTCGGTTCCTGCGCAACGACACTATTAGACCAGACTTCTCGAAGTATTGTCTAATGAACTTCTGTGCTTCGGGATTAAGCTGATTTAGAGAAGCTTCCCTGCTGTCCCGTTTATAACTGCCGCACCACAGAGCTACTACTGACACTGTTGACTTGCCGTATGGTGCAGCAGAAGTGAGCGGCCCGCGATTTTTCGCTCCCGTTCTGACCATCCTAATATTTATTGCCTGCCTCCATTGCCATTGTCTGATAAGGAAGATATTTGCAAACTCAGAGCTCATATTTCTTCGCACATCATAGGCAAAATTAATTAATGTTCAGTCGGTCACACCTACTTAGGTCAGGGTCAAACCTACTAAAGTGCGTCGTGTTTCTATAATACAGTTAAAGTCTAGTGGGTCACAGTCCATCTCCAAGAATTCCCCCTTCCATCTCTCCTTCAAAGCACTGATTTTCTAGTGATTCAAGATATCGAGGGAAGTCTACCACACTTTAAGTCGCCAAGGTTAACGTTCAAGCCCGAACGTAAATCCTGACTCATGGGTTTCTCGTATTCTCCCCAAACGTGACCTGAGGCTGCTCGCAGCGAGACAAATCTCATGCACATGTATTACCTGCGAAGTATTCGAGAACAGCTAGGTTCCACAACCATGCAAAGGCGTACTGCTATGTGATGCGGGAGACATCTAGCGGCTCATCGAAATAGGGCAAGGCACACACGTAAAATTTCCCCTCGACTCAGATCAGAAAATAAATGCTCATGCCGAACAACAACATTCAGGGTCCAGGAGCTTTCGTCAGACGAGCACAATTGGAGGGCTTTCTCCATCAACCGTTTTCAAACTCCTATTGGAGCCGATTGAAGTGTCACGTGATTAATGCGTGCTTTTATTGCGGAGTACTGACTTGGGGGGCGTCACTTTGTACTGAAGGAAGCGATCCATCATGACCTCCAAACGCAATTTCTTTGGTAAAGGCTCTGTCGTGGTTGCTACCGACAATGGTAGCCCAGTTCGACGCCTGGCAATCACTGCTGACAATCTCGTGACCCAACCATTCGAGGGCATCGACATCATTCCAGATGTCATCGACTACGCCGCCCGAACACATGGCACGAAAGATGCTGTGGGTTGGCGTGATATCGTCGGCATTCATGAAGAAGAGAAGGAAGTAACAAAGACGGTCAATGGAAAGGAAGTCACCGAGAAGAAGATCTGGAAGTATTTCCAGCTCAGTGACTACAAGTATCACAGTTTCCTGGACGTCCAAGAGCGAGTTTCGGCGCTCGCACGAGGTCTTCTTCACCATCAAATCATGAAGGAAGACATATTTAACATCTATGCTCAGACGAGGTATGCCTGATTTCCTGCCGAAACCTTCATGGCTGACGCGTAAGCCTGTAGCGTAAACTGGCAGCTTATGTCTCATGCGTGCACAGCAATCGCAACTCCTGTAGCCACTGCCTACGATACCCTTGGCGAATCCGGACTCACACATTCATTGAACGAGCCGAATTGCGTTGGTGTTTTCACTAATGCCGACCTCCTGACGACCCTGAAGAATGTGCTTCCGAATACCCCGTCGGTCAGGCTCATAGTCTATGATGGTGATGCCAAGTCGTCACTTCTCGATGATATCCGCAACATCAGGGAAAACGTAGTCATTCTCTCTATTGATGAACTGCGTGACATTGGTGCAAAGCAATCCAAGGAGGGTCTGGAGGAGCGAAGGCCATCTAGAGACGATGTGGCTCTGATCATGTATACCAGTGGCACTACTGGTGCCCCTAAGGGTGTGGTACTTACTCACGGCAACGTCATTGCCTCTGTCGGTGCTGTCTACACGCTTCTTGGTCACCACCTCGGTACCGATGACAGTTTCCTGGCATACCTCCCGCTCGCCCACATTCTTGAATACATTGTGGAGCTTATCTTATTCTTTGTCGGCATGAAGACAGGCTACGGCCGCGTGAAGACCCTTACAGATGCATCCGTACGCCAATGCAAGGGTGACATTGTCACTTTTCGCCCCAGCATCATGGTTGGGGTGCCCGCCGTGTGGGAACAGATCCGTAAGGGGATTACCACTAAGGTTAACGCTAGCGGCACCTTGAAGAAGGCCATCTTCAATGGGGCGATGGCGGCCAAGAAGGCTGATGTTCCTGGCCTTAGCCAGCTGGCAGATGCTGCTGTGCTCAATAACATCAAGCAAGCCACCGGAGGACGACTCCGTCTCGCATTAAGTGGTGGCGCTGCTCTTAGCAAAGAAACTCAAGAGTTCTTGTCCGTTGCACTGGTTACTATGCTCCAAGGTCAGTAACTTCCCGAGCCGATTTGCGAATATGTTAACGTAATTGAGGGCAGGTTATGGTATGACTGAATCTTGCGGGATGTGCGCCATCTTGCCCCCCGAGCTCATGCAATATCGCTCGGTTGGACTGCCTGTTCCTTCAGCTGAAATAAAGCTCCTGGATGTCCCTGAAGCGGGCTACAAGTCGACTAACAACCCTCCCCAGGGAGAAGTTTGTATTAGGGGCCCGTCGGTCACCAAAGGATACTACAAGCGGGACGACCTCAACAACGACGAGTCTATCTTCACTAAGGATGGCTGGCTTAGGACTGGTGATGTCGGTCAATGGAATGCTGATGGGACTCTTTCTCTGATCGACAGGTAATCTGACCTCCTGGACAATCTTCTTCGTCTGATACGCATTCATTTCAGGATCAAGAATCTCATCAAGCTGCAGGGTGGCGAGGTGTGTTAAGTTGTCTTTCTTTGCCACAGATCAACTAATCTGCCGCTTCTCAGTACATAGCCCTTGAACAACTTGAATCGACGTACAAGTCATGCTACCTTGTGGCGAACATTTGTGTATACGCAGATGCTGAAGCCAAACAACCCATTGGTATTATCATCCCCCATGAAGCCAATCTGCGCCACGCTCTCGAAGCCAAGTCCATCCCCGCAGATGCGAGCGCTCAGTTATCGGATTTGTGCGCCAACAAGGCGGTGCAAGATCTCATCCTCAAGGAGTGCAATGCCATCGGGAAAAAGAATGGCTTCAAACAAATGGAGATTCTAGAAGCTGTTATTCTGACGGCAGATGAGTGGACGCCCGAAAGTGGCCTCGTTACCGCGGCACAGAAGGTGCAACGCTCCAAGGTTGCGAAGAAATTCGAGAAGGAAATTAAGGTGAGCTTCAACCTTTATGCTTTTCGGTCTTCCGTTGACGACAGCTATAATAGGCAGCATATGCTGTCCAATGATTTCATGTAATTTGGTTGACCAACCATTTGTGTTTTTACTTCTCGCTTTACTTCAGTCTTTGACAATTTCACCTATTGTACAGTTTGTATGTTTTAGTCGGATTTTTAGTATGATAAATGTGATAGAGTACACAGTTCATTGTCGCTTCTACGGCTTTTGATGAGCGGAGTGGGTACTATGTATAGTACTGGTGTGAGTGGCATCTGACTGCGGTTTCTCTGCAATTGGGTTTTGTATGGTCAGACTAGAGGATGCGGTGCTGTGATGGCTTATATAAGTGGTCCCAACCCGCGCGCAAGAAGCCAGCGGTCAAACGCAGTCACCGTGTTCTTCTGCTTCTCACCTCTCTTCTTTACTTGGGCTTCATTCTCATCACAATACTCATTATACACCTTTTTGTTTTCTAACGCTCCTTGTAATTGTTGAATTTCATCGCGGCTAGCGCGCAGGCTTGCCTCCGTCTTCCATTAGTCCGAATAATCTGACCGCTCACAGCCCAGCAACATTCATGTCGTCCCAAAACCCAGTACGCATATTTTGTTCCTCTATTCGAGTACTGGCTCTCAAGTCTTACATTCCGGCGCCTTGTTTGCCTCGCGCGTAGATTCGCAGAAAACTGGTCATCGTCGGTGACGGCACGTAACCGCAGCCCTTTGTTTATGGACATGTCCGGCTAAACTTTAGGCTAACACTCACAGGTGCTTGTGGGAAGACCTCCCTACTATGCTCTTTTGCGCTGGGAGAATTTCCAAAGGAATATGTGAGTCTATACACCGTTGTGGCATGTGCCTACCGAGCGCAACTGATCTCACTCTCAAGCAACCGAGTAAGCTCCCTTTGGAGGGGCACTTATCCGGCACTGGCTTACCTATTGACCCTCTCAGCTATATTTGAAAACTATGTCGCGGAAATCAGGCTAGATGGTAAACCTGTGCAATTGGCACTTTGGGATACTGCGTTTGTACCTTCTCTTCTTGCGCTAGACTTCTCTTTTATCTAACTATTGTGTCATGCAGAGGTCAGGAAGAGTATGAAGTAAGATATTGATATTTCATTACCGGGCTTTCCCGCTTGCTCATTATCTCCTGCGTCAGCGTTTACGACCACTGTCCTACTCCAAGTCACATGTTATTTTAATTGCTTTCGCTATCGACACCCCAGATTCTCTGGATAACGTATCTGTAAAAGTAGGTTTATATCGACACGTTTTCTTGGCGCGCCTGTCGATCCCTGATCCGTCCTGTCTAGTGGATCGAAGAAGTTCGGAGCATATGTGGCCCAACTATCCCAATTCTACTCGTTGGGTGTAAAGCCGACTTGCGTCCATCTCCCAATTCTCCTGATATTGGCAACTTCGTCTCGCGTGCTGAAGCTGAACGCGTGGCATCAATGATCGGTGCGCGCGCTTACAAGGAGTGCTCCGCCCTCAAGATTGAGGGTGTGGATGATGTGTTCGAGGCTGCCACCCGAGCAAGCATGCTTATGAGAGAGGGCGTGCCCTCCTCTGCTCATCATAGAAGGAAGAGCAGTGGGCGTAGTGGTGAAGCGTCTAACGGAGACTCGACTGGTGGAAGCTGGAAGTGTTGCGTTGTCTGCTGATAACCTCGCTTACCCGCGTTCATTTCGGGTTCATTGATAGCTCTTCGGATGGCCCGCTTCTTCCTCGGCATCATCATTGATCTATGGACTAGCTTCAGCTTTTGCACATACGTGATATGTCGCGTTGTTCTCGCTTTGATTTCGATCCGGAGCTAACTCGTTCACATTGCCTCCACCTTTTCCAAGTAGTCTGCTAATATCACAGGATCTCATTTGTCTGATTTTTGTTCAATGCATAGCATACTTTTCTTTTTCGTTCGCTCGGCGTTTGCCCTATACGCTATGTCAAAGCTAAGTCTTGGACCAGGTTCATGTTTAGACTTCGGATCGTACTTAGCATCTTATACATGCAATATCTGCACACTGGAGAAGCTGGATAAATTGTCAAACGGAAGCAAAGTAGGGTGAAATTGTACATGTGTACATGCGAATCTGTCAAACCCTGGACGCACATCTATCAAACGAGGAATAGGCCTTCGCAGGAGTCCGGGTCTGGCCGCGCATAGACTAAGACAATTGGCTCCGACTTGCAAATGTTGTCAACCCGCATGATCAACTCAACGACCTTGTCCATCACATCACTGTCAGATAACCCGGAAGGGCCGAGAGTTCCACCGAATTAAGTGAAGGAGGTCAACCAGCGTGCGAGTGATTCGTGGGGTTCGGGGGCGGTGGCAGATACAGTTGCTTTGGCACTTCCGCAGAGCTGTGACCGACGGGAACAACTTACATCGAAACATCATGTACGTATTAGGCGATGTTCGTGTGTGCAAAGATAGTGTCAGGCATGGATAGAGGCTGGCCCGGGTCCTCGCAAGTCGGCAGTCAATGCAATATATGATCAACTTGAACGCCCCATCACGACTAGAAGACTTCCTCATTCCTTCAATGCTCTATGCAGCCAATCTAAAATAGATGGTCAGCGCTAGCTGATTTAAGCCCAGCCATGGTAGCTAGAAGCTTACAGATTGATGTGACCACCTGTTGAAATAAACGGACAATTCAAACCCACGATTCTGGACAAATTTTACTGGCGGCGCCCGCACACGTGCTGTGACGTTCAAGCATCAGATCTAAACACCGGACAAGATCCGAAGGACTGAATAGTGGGGCCTTCTGCTTTTGAGATGAGACTTATTAAGATCACCAGTCGTAATGCTGAGCTGCCAATGAAGTTCCAGGTCAGACCGCACACGCGTAACCGTTGCACCAAAAAGTAGAATGGTGAAATTTGAAAGCTTATCTTTCAGCGCTCAGCATCGCATCGGTGACAGTATATATACTGAATATGCAGGTGAACCAGCGTGCTTACATCTCAATTGAAACCGAGCGCTGAACTATCTTTACCTCGGGGTCTGAAAGAGAAGGTTGCCCGGAAAATTTGTTGCCACACTGTCATTGACCATGCAGTGGCATAGCATTGGGTCGCGTTCTTCATTTTTTCATGTGAGCAGCGATTCAAAAATGTTGATGAGAAAATGGCGATGCATTATGGGAAAACGAAAGAGGTAATGTTTGGATTTGAACTTTGAGACTATTCTTTAGCGGCATGTACTTATAATTTACAAATGATATTTACCACATTCTTGATGTGTACAGCCATTCTAGAGGAAATCTAGTGAAGAATGCGGCGAAATCTAGAATTATCGCAAAGACTTGGAGCTTATCATAACAAAGGGCGAGTCAAAACCTGAGCCTGAGCTTCCCGGTAGACGAGCTCATCGATGTGTCCACGGGCGAGGTCATACACCCATCCGTGCACAGTGACTTTCTTCGCATTCGGGTCTGCCCATGCAGTGGTGATCGGTTCCGAGTTGCAGATATTGTCGACTTGCGTAATGACATTGGCCTGAACGACTTTATCCAACGCCTCGCTTGCGGAGCACGCGGAAAGGTCGAGGGATTGAACGAGCGTGATGAGAGGGCTTAACCAGCGCGTGAGTGGGGTCTCGGGTTGGGGCGCGCCGGTATCGGCAGCTGCGTCTTCGGCGGCTTTCAGGCAAGCAGCAGCACCTCCACAGTTGGTATGGCCAACAAGGACGACTGTTAACGATATATACCCGTTAGAGGAATAATCGAAACCTTATTATGAGTATAATGAGACACTCGCCGTGTTCAATGCCGACTACTTTGACAGCATAAGTGAGAACGGAGAGTGCGCTATCATCGTTGAGGTTGAATTGGCTGCAAGGACGGTTGTGAGCTCAGACTTCGATGAATTTTTTTTTATACGTACTTGGCGACGTTTCTGTGCACAAAGATATCGCCAGGCTTAGAGGTTGTAATGACTGATTCCGGTACCCGCGAGTCGGAGCAGCCAATCCAAAGGATCTGAAATGACCTTCATGAATGGAGTTAGATGGGACGTGGGGTGGGCAAACCTTGGGGCTCTGGCCGGTGGCCGACTGAGTGAAAAAATCGGGCGTGTCATTAATTACGCTTTGCGCCCACTCCTTATTGGCGTTGAGTAGAGTTTGGATAGGCTCGTGGGACATGATGGCGGAGAAGTGGGAGGCGAAGAGATTTCGGAGGGCGGTCGGAAGTACTACAGATGCTAATATATAGCCGATATCGATAGTGGCACCATCTTATATATCTTGACTGGCACTGCTAAATAGATAATCAAGGGCTCACTGATGGCAAAGATCAAGTTCGGTAAGTAATTTATTCTACTGTTTTTAGTCTACTGATGTATGAATACATAGCTGTACTTATAACTACGCGGTTTGATCCCGCTGTTCCGTACACCCACGGGTCGCCGGGGTCGGTCAATTCCTAATGACCTCCAAAATGACCAAAGCTCGTCCAGCAAGCCAAGTCCTTCCAACAATTCCAGCGACTTGTGATATTTGATGGACAGAGCTAGTATCATATGGTCCGCACCATTCCTCCTGCATGCTTACAGCCCATCTTGAGGGATGCCGACAAATATACGAACAGCTTCTCGCTTGGCGTCAGTGTCTCCTTTGAGGGGCAGACCATAAGCCTTGAGAATAGCCTCGTAGCGCTCCTCTAAATAACACCACGCGATCAGTGAACCATTCCAAACCCAAGTTCAAAAATGCACTGACTTGTAATATGCTCGAATTCTCCCCTAGTAGCAGGGAAGTTCGGCGGTGGCTTGCCATCGTTTCCAACGGGCGCCTTGAGTGGCGTATTCAAAACTGTACACCGAGAGTTGTTCAAACGCGCAGGAAGTCGCTGTTGGCTGTGATAGATAGCAAAGGTACGTCAGCCTCCGTATAGTTCATCTAAAATACTAACGTACTCAATTTCCACGATTTTCTTGAGTGCCTCGATCTTCTTGTCCAACTCCTCCAACGCAGGTCCTTTATCCGTGCTCAACTGCGTAAATTGCTCTTTCAAAGCAGCAAACTCAGCCGCGAGGCGTTCTTGTGTGCTCTCAATCGACGTGAGTTTCGACTTGAGAGACGCAAACTCAACTGTCACGTCATTGCCGCTGAATGCCGTGGAAGGAACAAGCGCGAGTGCTTGTGATGCAGCTGCTATCTGGTCTGCCATCGCTGCGAATGATGCGGAGAGACGGTGTGGCCATAACGGCGCATTCAAGCTAGCATAGTCAAAAGATGGACTCGCCAGCGAGACGTCAATAGTCGGCGCGGACGACCCTGGGCGGGACTCCCCTAAAAAAAGGCCGTTTGGCGACTGAGGTTCCCTGCTAAACATGGTGGTGAATGATCGATTCTGCCAAAGGCTAAGTTCTTGAAGGATTTATGGCAGGAAAAGAAGGGGCGCGGCTGGGCCGAGCAGGGGGAAGTTCCAAGCTCACGGACACAGGAACATGAGATTGAATATGTTATCCTTGACTAAATTCTCATACGATGTGCGAGAAATTTTTCGTCGATGGGACTAGGAGACGGAAGAATGTATGCCCATTGGACATGCCATGCCAACGGATGTGAACTGACTATGAACCGTGAGCGAAGGCTTATTATATATGCGCGAGTCTGATCATTGACAGAGTGCTCGGCAATTCCTGCTGCGCACCCGGTGTGCGAATTTGTAAAACTACTTAACAGACAGCCAGGAACGAAGTTGTGTTGTCCCAGGTTGTCCTACACGGCGAATCTCAGACGTGGACTCTGGTGGAATCGGCTTATCGCATGTAATTGTAAGATGTAGTACCTACCGAGACCATATCACTCCAGCTATGGCCAATTCGTCGTTAGTTTCCCAGATTCAGGCAAGCTGGGACCTTAGTGCAGTGTTTGAGCGTCCACTGCTCCGCGGCCATCAGTCACCATTACCCATTCTTCGAGCGAATTCTTGAGGTACCCTGACACATTCTAGTGACCCTGAACAACGGGGCGTAAATTGCTGAATGTCCACAAATTACTTCACTTCTGAGAAATGAAATGAAATCCCCACGAGTCCACGGATACACATCAAGTACTTACTGTGATCGATCCATGTCGTTGTTGTCTTCACCAACATGCATCCTTATCTTCAAGTCCCTGCCTAATGAATCGACAAGATTAGCCTATCATGTAGGATTTAAATATAATCGCACTATCAAACATCCACCGGTGGTTTACGACCTGCTGATAGCTAACTACATAGTCAAGCGAGGGACCTCCGGGGTCAGGCCAGTCCCACTAAATCAATCCAGGGTGTTGACACAAATATACATGGTTACAGAATGACACACATATAGGAGTACAGGGTGGGTAATGCGGATGTTTTCCAGGTAGTCTTGTGGACAAGACAACGTCAGTGAGTACGAGAGGACAAGCAGACCGCAAGGCGAGAACCTGATAGAACGCAGACGCCGTAATGTTATTTCCGCTGTCGTTTAGCTTGAACCGGAGCCGCATCAAGGTCAGCGTCATTATTAGCGGCCACGTTGCAAGCAAGAGGTGGCAAAGATCTAGATTGGAACTCATCCGATCATGCATACGACATGGGCGGCGGCGGGGTAGTCTCGCTTGAAGTTCTGGGGTGCTGTGTAGTCGTGCAAGGGGTCTGTTCTCTTCCGCTGGATTTGCGTAACTTTAATTCGAGAAGATCAGATTTACCAAAGTATTTTGTCTTCGAAATCACCATGAGGTCATAGAGTTCAGAAGAGACGAAAGGAAGGCTAACTTTGGAAATTCCGTGATCATTTCCGTACGAGTCGATACCCTACGGAGCCAGATATCAGGGTATACTGATCAATCCGAATGGATGCAGTTGTAGACTGACTGAGAGGGCAATTGCAGGTTGAGCCTGAATGTTATGTTCACTTCTGGAGTAGTTAGATATCAGGAACGGCCAAGCTGGGTCGACGTCCAACGGAAGTATTAGACTGGTGAACGTACGTACTTGAGACGTGCGTGACACTTCAAGTACTTACAGCAGACAGCGAGTCCCCAATGCACTGGAAAGCAATATGAAATGGTTCATGCGGCAGAAGACTGGTACCCTGGTTGAACAAGATGTGGTTAACTGACAAGACACCCATCCCCATCTTAACCATTAAGCTCAATGCTCTAGAAAGTTGTCTTGTGGGTTGTCTTATCATCCCACCCAGTCGACCTTCACTACTGTATCCGATGCAGAAAAGAGGTCGCCGAAAGGGATGTAATTGATCCTTTGTATAGCATTGAAAGTCTAGATAAAACCCGTAGCTTAGTGACACCAGAAAACGGGATTGCACGCGTAGGGGCCAAGGTTCGATGTCAAGGTTCCGCACGTTGATCTCGAAGCCAGAACTTATGCTCGATAAATTGAACAAAAATTGCTGGGAAGACAAACTCAGAACGTACCAGCATATCTCTGAGTCATCATAGGCAAGCACGACACCCCCAGCTTCAGAAAACTCTGGATGCAAAGTAGAAAGAGTGCTGCCTTGACCCGTAACAATGAAGAGATAAACTGTGCCCATTGTGGAGGACGATGCGTGAGGATCGGCATCACAACTTTGTACAAAGACTGCATTCTGCCGTTCTGCTGTGCGCTCTATTCAGTTGCCTCAAGTTTCAGCCCGATAATGATAGTGAACGCTTGCGGATTTAGAGATATCCATTCTTTAACTTGTCAAAGCCTATATTGCTGCATATAGGTCCTAGGTTGGGCCAATGACTTGGGGACAATGGAAGGGCCGTGGAAGGAATTTACAGTATTCGGGGTTGTTCAAGGATATCGGGTGGTGGGTATGCTAGCAGTGGTAAAAGTCTTTGGACAGCACACACAACCAGGTATCTCTTTGCATCAATCTAGGCAACACCATCAATAAGGAAAGCTGTTGACCGAGTAGTTTCTTACGTGTGGTTAAATCTAAATTGTCCATCCTGTAGTGTTTCATTCGAGTCTGGTGGACCAGGGGTCCCAGGACAAGGGTACAGAGACCTAGGCTTTCGGAGGTTTCCACAGCTTAGTCAGACGATACGCACATGCACACGGTTCCTGTAGTAGCATAGCTCATTCCTTCGCAGCAGCGGTCTCTCATCTCATCTCTAGCACTAGTCCATCTTGGTGAACAGAGCGATTTCGAACCAAAGACGCATAGGATTTTAGGAGCATTCAGCATCTTCAGATCATCGGATTTAGCAGCAGCCTTGCATATAACCGCAGCATCAGAATCAGAAGCAAAGCAGGATACCATTTGCGAAAAGCTTCGCAGACAACGTATTACATCGTATTACGATCAAAAAAGATAAAGATAAACAACAGGTGTTTGTTAAACAAACCACAAGTATTCAAAAAGGGCTGTGTTCTATTCTACTCGTTTACGTGGAATTTCACCAAAAAACTGATGCATAGCGGTTTGAGACCTAGAACAGAAACAGGACAGGCGATAACCAACGTTCGGTTAAAAATTAACTGGTCAGCGGATACGTCCACAGCTTCATCCCCGCTAGACACACCAGAACAATTTCCAAATTCTCCGCTCACGAGCATCAATAGCTCAGGAAGTAACAGGGCATTGTCTGAGTTAGACGTACCGAATTTGGACCTCGATTTATCTCAGCTCGAATTAGAACTACAAGAGTACGCAAAACCAGAACCGTTCACATCGCTTTTCACGACACCAAACTACAATCTTGGCGAGTTCTTCGAAATCGCAGAGCCGAAACAATATATGCCTACGGAGACACCGCAGATATTTCATGGCAATGGACGCAAAACGGAAAATCCGGCAGACTTTCTTAAGTCATTCAATCGGGCAATGCAACAGCAGGCAATAATCACGAGCAGTGATAAGTTAGAGGCGTTCGGGGATTATCTCAGCACAGGATCAGAAGCGGAGGTATGGTTTAAAGGACTCACGGGGACGAACAAGACAACATGGGTCCTGTTTGTCGTAGCTTTTGAAGCACGATGGCCACCTATCACGATCGCAAAGAAGACCAAGGCGGAATACGAAAGGGAGTTGTTAGATCATCGTTTAATGGACGTAGACGTGGGGACGAAGACCATGTTGTACGATCAAGAATGTTGGGCACACGAAGCATGGGCAACGAAGGCGCAGCAGCTCGCAACAAGTGCAGGAATAGAAGGAAGCACATCGATGATATGGCAAGTTAGAGGACAACTGCCAAGCGTCGTCAAAGACTTGCTGAAAGACGAAGAATATGCAAATTGGGAGGCGTTTACGAAAGAAGTTAAAGAGTTGAAGGGCAATAGACTTCTGGAAAAGAAGGAGCAGTACATCAGACAGGAACGAGAGGTCAACATGTTGCGTGCAGACGTAGCCCGGTTGCAACAGCGCAGCACAACGTCAAACCCAATCACGGCACTCCAGAATCAATTATCTCGCATGTCAATTGCGGCACCAAAACAAGCTACGACGCCGTTAAGCAATAGTAACGTGGCACGAGTACCAGCACAGCAAACAAATCAGTCCGCACCATCCACCATTAGCCGTCAACCACTCACAAGCCCACAACCGCTCGTCATAACAGAGGACATAAAGAACACGATTAGACAACTCGTTTCATCAATCGTTCATCAACCAGACACTCCAGCAGGACACACAGCATACAGAACGCAAATCGCACAATGGAATGTGAAATGGGGAGAGAGCACAAGAGTTTCGCATGAGACTGGGTACCCGCTCAAGCCAGGGACAGCAGCTATCGCGTCAAGTGAATGTTTCAACTGCGGAACGCATGGACATAATAGTCGCAACTGTGTCTTACCAGCAGACCACACAGAGAGGCTCTCGAGGAAGGAGGCGGCATGGCGCACAATCACAAGTAAAGCGTTGGGAGCCTTCAATCGAGTGACAGCAACCACTATAGCGCTCGTCATTGACGGAAACTATGAGACAACAGGAGCATGGATCGAAGAAATCTCGGAGCAACAGGGAAAAGGGGACGGGTCGACGTAGAGCAGAACAATACGTCGACCCAAAGTTTCAAGGACCCGCAGGACGAAATCAAAGTCCTCGCATGTGTGGAGGCAAGATGCGAGGAAAAGATCAGGATCAATAGCCCCGAACTCTATGCTAAAGCCGTAGCTAAGGATGTCAAATGTATCACCAATTCTCGCAGCGCAATCGAGATAGTTGACTTGTATTCGGTTGGACACCCGCAAACGACGAAGGCACAAATAGAGAACGGAGAGGCAGTTCCATTCATACACCGAATCGAACTGGAAGGTCCACAGGGAGAGGTGGTTAGAATCAGAGCGCTATTCGATGACGGAGCAATGGTTAGCGTTATGTGCTCATCAATATTTCAAAAAATCAAGCACAGACTACACAACTATGGCCAATCGAACAAAAAACTACGGATGGCGAATGGAAACATCATTAATTCGGTTGCGAAATGGACAGGAAACGTTAGAATTAACGGGATAATAACGGAGAGTACATTCGAGGTTTTCGATAGCGGAGGGAGTTGGGGATTTCTACTGGGAAAACCAACACTTCAAGCATTTGCGGCGGTCCACAATTACGCAACGGACAAGATAAAGATTTCAGGAGGCGCACAAGAAGCACAACTAGAGAATCAAGTCAAAGATCAGCGCATGATGGAGCAAGGCGAAGGGGTCAACTTAACGCTGGACGAGAAACAGCAGAGAGAGGAAGTTGAAAGCACGAGAGCAAAGAGGGTGCAGGAAAGAAGAAGGCAGTCGAGAACACCGATGGGACAGTGGAGACCAACGGTGCAAAGAACGGAAAGGGGAACATGGAGAAAAGAATTAAAGAGGGAAACATTACGGGGGAGTGAGGAGCTCCCCGCAAGGGAAGTCAATCAGAATTCGTCAGTGGAAAAGGAGAAAAACGTTAACGCACCAGGGATTACAGAGCATGCGGTCAGCACCAACGTAATATTGGAACAAGATGAAGGGGAGACAGAGGACGAGATATTAGAGGAGCTTCGAGAACCAGAACCAATCAAAGGAAGTGCGGCACTATACACTCGTCAATTGGACCCATTCAATCCGATAAGAGTCAAGGAAATCTTACGGCAAATAACGTTCGGGGACGACTTAACAGAGGAGGAACGAAAGGAGTTAGAACAACTGGTATCAAGGAACGCGGATAACTTTGCACTAACATTAAAGGAAGTGGTCCCAATACCAGGAGCGACGTTGAACTTAAACGTCCCGGACGACGCAATGTTTAATCTGAGGATACACCAACGACAACTAACACCAGAACAGTCGCAGTTCTACAACGAGAGAGTGAGCGAAATGCTCGCAGCAGGAATAGTGGAAAGGGCACCACCGGAGCTTATCAAGTGCGCAGCAACAACGGTCATCGCTCAAAAGGCACACGAAGCTGGAGGCTTGACGTGGGACGAACTCAAACAACGAGTCAACGATCAATATAGGACAGCAGGAATGCGCCCAGTGTTCGAGTTACCACCGAGAGAAGTACCAAGACCAACATTGGACGAACCAGAAGAGAGAAAACCGAAGAAATGGAGAGTTTGTCAGAACTTTGCGCAACTCAACAAAGTAACAGAAGTCGCACCAATGCCACAGGGGGATATCCTAGCAAAACAACAAAGATTAAGTGGTCATCGTTTCATATCAATATTTGATTTCGCAGCAGGATATTACGCCATAGAAGTACCGGAAAAGTGGCGCCCATACCTAGCGTTTTATATCGAAGGACGCGGGTACTTTTGGTATCGAAGAATGCCAATGGGAATAACGGGAGCCCCAACAGCATTTTGCGAAGCGTTAGCGGCAAGACTACATGATTTATTAGTAACACACTTCATGGAGTTGTTCATGGACGATGGGGGTTGCGCGGCAAGTACATTCAAAGAAATGATAGAGAAACTAATGGTTCTATTCAAGCGCTTTCGAGAATGTAAGTTCTCGATAGCACCAAGCAAAACCAAGCTGTGCATGACGGAAACCGAGTTTGCGGGGGGAACAATAGGAAGAGATGGAGTTAAACCAGATTTAACAAAACTCACAGCTATTGTAGAATGGCAACAACCCCAGGACGCACAAAACTTAGCATCGTTTTTAGGTTTGACGGGGTTTTATCGTACGCTAATAAGCGCATATGCAAAAAGGGAGGGACCAATTCGTAATTTGTTACTCAGGGTACCAGTGGACAACACCATGTCGAAAGCAACGTACCGACGAACAATGAGCAATTTCAAGCTAGGTGCTATTTGGACTCAGGAACACACTAACACATTTCTAGACCTCAAAACAGCGATCACATCAAGACCAGTATTACAAGCACCAAGATATGATGGCTCACATTTTGTGGTTACGTCGGACGGATGTCTGGAGGGCTTCGCGGCGGTACTATCGCAGAGAGTAAGGACACAAACACCGACAGGAAGGTGGGTAGAACGAATGCATCCACTAGGTTTCGCATCGAAACGGACATCGGCAATGGAAAGGAAGTATAAGTCGTATTTGTTGGAATTTGCGGCACTGAAATTTGGGTTAGATAAATTTTCAGGTATAATATGGGGTTTCCCAGTCGAAATCGAGACAGATTGCAGCGCGATGAAGGACACGCTACTAAATCCAAATATGAATGTGGCGCACGCTAGATGGCGAGAAGGAATTCTAGCATATCATATAGTGGACGTCAGACACGTACCAGGTAAGCTAAACGTCGTAGCTGATGGCCTCAGTAGGAAATGGGAGAACACGCAACCCATTCAAGGAGACAGGAGCGAGTGGACGGTACAAGAAGACTGGGAAGCAAGGATAGGATTAGCAAACGATATCATGCACGTGGAATTGGTCAATACGGAAATCGACAATCTCCGTAAACGATTCGACAAAGAACCAGTTTTCTTGGAAGTCGTAGACGCAATACACAATCTGGATCAAGATAAGGACGTACGGGAGAAAAAGAGAGCAAGGCATAGAGCATCCCAATACATCATAGAAGAAGGGAAGCTCTGGAAAGTACATGGCGGAACAACGACAAGAGCCAGAGCTAAGGTTGAATGTATATCGAGAGAAGAAGCAAAGACACGAGCGGCAAAAACGCACCTGGAAGGCGGGCATTGGGGGAGGGACGCTATCAAGATTGCTCTTCTGGACAGCATATGGAGCCCGAAGTTAGATGCGTCGATTTTGGAAGCTATTAAGAACTGCGCTAAGTGCAAGAATTTTGGACCGACACACATAAACTCACTATTTGAACCCATCATCAGGAGACACCCATTCGAGCTCTTAGTCGGGGATTACCTATCTCTCCCGAAAGGGAAGGGAGGGTATAGCACACTTGGAGTTTATCTCGACACGTTTTCGCAACATACTTGGGTCTTCAAGTATAAATCGGCGGGTAGCGCAAGAACCACGGTCGACAGTTTAACTAATATCTTCAGCGCATTCACACCATCGGAGACGTTCATGGCGGACGGGGGCAAACATTTCAATAACGACGCTGTACGAATGTTCTGCGAATCAAGAAAGTGTAAGTTGCACACAGTAGCGGCATACTCGCCCTGGGTCAATGGTTTAGTAGAAGGTACGAACAAGCTATTATTACACGTACTGAAAAGATTGTGCGCACCCGAAATAGGAGAGGATCAACAGCAGGAAATAGCATGGGACAAACTGCCTAAGTCATGGCCGGACCACATCGATAATGCGGTCCACGCCCTTAACTATCGTCTGTTGCCGGCACTAAAATTTTCACCAAAGGAGTTACTATTAGGACTCGTCATTAATACCCCGATAACAATGGTAGAGGAAAGCACATCAACACTACGTTCATCAGAAGCATTAGCACAAATAGCTTACGTGGAACAACAGAGGTTAGATGGATACGACGAAGTCGTGCGACATGCCATAAAGCGGAAGGCGAAATTCGATAAAAGAGTACTGCAACGGGCACCAGGTGAAGTCACATTCAAAATAGGTCAATTGGTTCAGGTCTACCGTAACGATTTAGATTATACATTCAAAACGGAGAGGAAGCTTATACCGAAATGGTCCGTCCCAAGAAGAGTGCGAGCAAGAGCACGGAATTCATACATGCTAGAAAATCTGAAGGGGACACCGTTACAGGGAGATTTCAGTGCAAGAAGACTGAGAGCCTTCACACCGCGTCTAGGCACCGAGCTAGCAAGAGAACAAGAGGAACACGAAAAAAGATTAGAAGAAAACAAAACGGAGGAGGACGAAGAACATACGACAGAAGAAAGAAATAAGGAAAAAGAGCAAATAGAAGATAACGAAGATGAAGAAAATAACAACGAAGAGGACGATGAAGAAAGAGACGGAAAAGAGGAAGAGAACGACGAAGAGAACGATAGCGAAGCGGAAGGAGAGTAGAAGACGGAATAGGATCAAGAGTGGCGTCGAGGCCGGCGCCGGTTGTTTTTTTAGGGGGGTGCATGGACCAGGGGTCCCAGGACAAGGGTACAGAGACCTAAGCTTTCGGAGGTTTCCACAGCTTAGTCAGACGATACGCACATGCACACGGTTCCTGTAGTAGCATAGCTCATTCCTTCGCAGCAGCGGTCTCTCATCTCATCTCTAGCACTAGTCCACTGGGAAAGGATCCGTAAACCAGTCATTTATATGTGACGCCCATCTATATCAATTAGATTACATGCTCGGCGACTCACGTTACAGTATATGTCTGTTAGATCCATAAGCCAAGTTTATGGTTCGACAGTGGCTGCAGGGATGAGATCGAAGAACGTTGAAAAGGCATGTTATAATGGCTCGTCTGTGGTGCATGGTGGAGCGCTAATACTGGATTTACATTTGGCACTTGCACAAGCCATCTTTCTGTGGCCTTGAAAGTCGCAAATGACCAAATGTGGGCTCACTAGCAGTCAATGAACAACGAAGAGATCGCTGCAAGTGCCTCCTTGGCCGTTCCATCAGTTTTGTATTTCTCCCTATATGGGATATAGACGTCTAGGGCGAGTTGAGGTGTGTCTGCAATCCGCTAATAGATAGTCAATGCACGGAAAGTAAGCACTAAGTGCCCTAGTAATGGAAGCATGACTTCCATCAGTCCGTCATTCCGCCGGCCGTTTAAATGTGCAAGTCTTCCAACTCGCGGAACCACTGTTGTGCTGTTCGTGGTATAGTGATCCCCGGCGTTTGTTGTGGATAGTACAAGTACTCGAATGTCAACTCCTCCATCCTGACCGCCGATAGGGTCCTGTTTCCCGTCGTTGTCAAGTGAGGAGCAATGAACCGGCGACCTGCGCCCGTTCACGAGTGTGAAATTTGCATCGAGTCTGCCTGTAGTAAGAAGACTAGTTATCATTTGTCTTTACGAGCCTGGAGAAGATACATCGCCGAAGGTGGCGTGTAGGTGGCCTGAGCTTTTGACATAACGGACTCGGATGAGCGGAGCATCTGCCCTCGAGGAGAGATACGGCATTGGTGATGACTTGAAGTAGCTAGCATCGCTTCTGTTTAAATGGCGTCGCTCAGCCTCCAATAACAAATAACAAATAAAAGCGGAAGTCTATCGAATTTGTAATCATATATCTTACGTTGAACAGCTTCCGGGCACCAATTTGTAGTAGTCTTTCAACGATGATGCCAAGGTCTTCAAGTTGTAAGGCACTTTGAAGGCACTAACTCAACTTGTGGTTTTTTCCGACGTATGTCACATAGCCCACAGTATCCAGTGCGTCTCGGTATCACCGAAAGTCGTCTCAGTGACAATGACAGCATCATGATACCGAGCGAACTTAAGACGTATCCATGGAGCTGGTAAAGGTTCAGCCTTCAAGTTCCAAGTCATCCCTGGTACATCCCTTGTACATCCCCTCCATTGCAACCATGACTTCAAGAGGCATCCCGCTCGATGCGGCTGCTATAATGTCGACTGCACTGGAAGGTATTCTATATGGCGAGTAAAATAGTTCATTCATCACATGTTTACTCTAGTACTAAGCTACGAGTTGTTCTTCAGGGTTCTCCATCCTCATGTTTATAGGTACCATTTGGGCGCTGACCTACAAGCGTCGCCTGCGGGAGGTCAATCGCCTAATTGTTGCAGTGACCGTCATGTTGTTAATACTGAGCACAGCAGTTAGTTTCTCGCTTCTTTAATGCTGTATCAACTACTGAAGTTCCCCAAGCACATGGTCGTAGACATCATTCGCCTTGAAGATGGATTGGTAAAGTATCGTGACACGTTTCCAGACGGGCCCGCGGCATTCTTCGCGGACGTGTCCCAAATTACATATGTGATCAAGAATGCGATATATATCTCGCACACTCTGCTTGGCGATTGGGTTGTGGTGGGTCCAACTTTCTGACTGCCAGCTTGGAACCCTTTTGACTTATAGACATGTAACTCCAACCAAAGATATACCGCTGTTACGTTGTTTGGCAATCTGCCAGGATCGTTATTCTGCCAAGTATACTGTGGTGCTGTAGTGCATGTAAGTTTACAACCATGCTCAAAAATTCGTGTGTTCTAACGTTGCCTTGAAGTGACTGGTTTTTCTGCAGTCTACAGCGTTTCGCAAGCCACTAGCAATGCTGGAAATATCTTCACGAAGGCGACTGGACAGTCTTTCTTCGCTTTGACACTTTCGACCAATCTAATAAGTTCAGGTAAGTACGTTTCTATGCCAGCACAATGTCGAAGTTTCATCACAACATGAACGTAACTAGGTTTATTGGCATATCGCATCTGGAAGATTGAGTGCAACGTCTCTGCATTACGCACTTCAAACAGAACCTTAACGCCCATATTGCGGGTTCTCGTGGATGCCGCCATTTTGTACTCTGTGGTGCTCTTCCCCACACTCATCTGTTTCGTCTGTTCGAACAATGGGCAGTATGTTATGCTAGACATGGTGAGTCCGCCGTTAACACTTGTTATCAAGTATCTGAGCTTCGATTATCTAGCTCGTGCCGATCATCTCAATTGCTTTCTACATGGTGCTCGTTCGCGTCGCGATTAGTAAACACGCTCAAGATTACGTCTTGACGACTTTCCATAGAGGGACGACGACAGAACAAGAAACCTTGCCTCCTGTGAAACCTTTGCGGGTGCATATATCCCGTATTACTCAAATTGACGATACCTCGACTCACGACATGGAGAGTGAGAACCTACAATCGACATGCAAGGTATATCCTGTTGAAGAGCAACCTTGTGCCGTGTAAACTATTGCAACATTTATCGCTTCCTTCTATGTTTCCAACACTGTCAATGAACAGCGTTTCCACAATTGTCTTTACCAATTTGGTGTCGGATTATCTGCGATGTAGTATTAGAAGAAGACAAGATTTACATGTGCACCCAACCAGATCCGAAACAAAAGGACCTATTAGTGGCTGTGGATCCGGAATAACTTATCAGGCACGAACGGGTCAAAAATCAAATGGGCCAGGACGATCAGACGCTCAGTTTCGGTTAGTATACTAGTAAGCAACCACTGCAGCCATCAGTGTCTAGCCCCACTCAATTCTTATTTTATTCTGCCATTTTATTGTTCCGTACGTGTGCTTTGTTCCCTCTCTCTGACCCCAGCTTCACTGACGCTTCTGCAGGATGGAGAAGTCAGTATATGATATAATGCGGTCTTTGGCCATCGTTGTAACAATGCCTTTGGCACCGACTTCAACTACTCTTACATGTCAAACTATATGTAGCCTCTCTATCTGGCCCGAACTCTGGAGGGTCAACGTACATCGACTCCACGAAATTGCGTGTTTGACAATCGTCATGCAAACAGCCGGCCACAGGGCCCCGTTGTCACTACGCTACGACAAAGCCCGAAGGACACTCCTCGGTCCTCGGACGACTACTCGAAGCTACGGCGACCCTACTGCAGTAAAACGTTACGCTTCCAGACAGTAACTGACTAGAACTCGTACTCTCTCATAGAATCATTGCACACTGCGAGTTTGCCCATGATAATTCTGAATGGCAAAGGCAACGTCAAATGCCCCGTACAGCAAGCAACTTTTTTCCTTCGGAGCGGCCATAGTGAGGCTTGGGACTATCTCATATCATGACCCTTGCTAAAAAAAAACTCTTCTTCATGATAACACAAATACTCTATTACTGCGCGCACCTGGCCCTCCGAATAGCCTCTTCTGTCTTCCCAACAGCCAGCTTCGCGACCATAAAAATATCATCCATCATGGTTTCTTCACACCACACATTCTCTCCATGAGGGATCTTCATTTCGCTGGGATTCAATACGCAACATAACTCACTTTATTTATCTATGACAGCAATATTGGACCTGGTGTCCATCTCACACTTGGAATTCTATCGAGTTTGCCATCGTGCCACCCAGAAAATTGGACCAGGTCGTGCAGGAGCAGAAAAGGAGATCGTCGCTCTGGGAACTCAGACACCTAGCGGTAATTCATGGGTTTCATCTTCATTGTATGTGAATGCGTTTCCTAAGCAACGTACTGACTACACCTATTTTAAGCCACTCCCCTCGTAATCTATGTAGTAGTGGCAAATTAACATGATGCAGGAAACGAACTGCCGTCATTTAATCACCACTCCCCATGCTCCCTCGATTTCCTAATCGACGGGGATTTCGAGTCTCAGGGTACTGAAACGAGTTGTCTGCGGATTGATAAGATGCCCGCTAAACGAGCTGTACCCTACACTCGTCAGGGGTTCTCCAAAAGGAGCTCTTCTTCCATATCCTCCCTCAGCTTCACGGTCGTCTGGGAACGTCATGATATTCTGCATGCATTCCTCAGGTAGTACTGGCTTCCCAAAACCTATTCCAATTTCTAATGTGACTGTTGTTCACTAGTCCTGATCCTGTGAATCACTGAAACAATATGTGCATCTAAGATGGTTCTAGCATCCCATCCGCGTTGGTTCTGCACCCTTTCCATAGTTTCATTGGTTGATATATTCAGCTGCTCACACCGGTCGCCTCCCTCAGCAGCGTGTCTATTTACCCACCCGCATCCTCCTCGGCAATCCCCTATAATTACCAACCCGCAAGATATCTTGGACTCTATAGTCAAGGCGAAGCTGAATACCTTAGTAGGCTGGAGCAAAAGGTGTTGTCGCACAATGTTGTCGACAGGTAAAAGACGCTCAAATATGTCGTATGTCACAAGTTCATTATTGAAAATTTCTTCAGGTAAGGAATGGCTCGCATAATTGTCTGTAATAATAGGCCTTTGCCGGTGGTCCGCTCACATCCAAGATAGGAGATACTCTAGTGGATGCAGGGGTCAAGCTGCATTCTCTTTACAGTGCTACAGAAGTGGGAAACATGACTTGCTTCTTCCGAGATGAAGTTGTGCGAATATTAAAGGTCTGCGTGCGATTTGGACCAAACTCCAAGATCAGGTGGGTTCCTCAGAAAGACAGTATATATGAATGTCGAGTTTTGGTAGGTCTCGGTCTTGACATCCCCTCTCAGTTGTCGAATACTTCAAGTTGCTCGCAGATAGTTCCGGCACAGAGAATCTCTCGGACATCAAAGGTTATGCTTCTTCAGATGTATTATCAAACATCCAACAGTCGAGGGTATGTAGAAGATTCGTGCCATCCATATCGCTTTCTAATATTGTCCTTGCAGCGTAAGAAGATGGATGACATGTTAGTGCTCTCATCTGGTGAAAAGCCAGTGCCAGCTCTCATATAGAGCACTATTTTCGCCAACCCCTACGTGAACGGTACCGTCATGTTCAACTGGGAAATGCAACCATGTCGGAATCCTCATAGTGCCACGGGCGGGGCACGAAATCGATGTCGATGACGGGAAGCGGCTTGCTGGGTTCAGGAATGGAATTTGGTAAGCTCGTGCCATATACACTTGCTGCTATCGAGTCTAACGATACCGGTGAACTTGAAGGCCAGATATAGAAGCGAATCAGGAGGCCCCTGCTTCCAGCAGGATCTTCAAGGAGATCGTTCTTGTGAATCGTGATACGCAGTGAAAGCACGTGCTGCGAGTTGGCAAGGGAGCTGTCAAGTTGCACGACGAGGAGATCAATGCCCTATGAGCATTTCATACATCCGCCAATGCGCGAACATGATATTCATGGGCGACAGGTACGAAAAGGTGGAGGGCAGCACTACAGCAGGCATTGATGTGCCTTTGCCTAGTACGAACTAGACTATAGATAACGCTGAGAGCTGTCTCATGGCATACTGCTGCTGTGAGTGCCGCCAACGTGCTTGATAGTTATTTGCTCAAGGCTTTGACAGGTGGGTCGAGGGCGAATTAAGGTATATGTTCAACTGACCCCCCTTACGTCTAGTCTATTCCTCAGAAACATCGGCTCCCTGAGGGATCGCGCAGAACATCGTTTTTTCAAAATTTTCGATTAGCCAGCTCACGAAAGGCATACAATACCGGTTGATACCAAAATTGGCATCAAGAAGATGACTGTTACTTTGATTGACGGACGCAGGCGAGGTGATTATGTGGTCATCTTCACTGGGTCCATAGACGGTCTTGGCTCATACCTGCTTTCATATCTGCTCCAGCACGGGGATGTGTCTGTAGCGTATATGCCTTCAATCGTCCATCAGCATCTAACGAACGATGTCAGAAATTTGGTTTCAAAGGAGGCGGCCTGGATATCACCCTTCCGTGTCTGAGGGGCTGGTGCATGTAGAAACTGATACTTCTCACTATGATCCGGGTCTGGATGATCAATCGCATCACAAGGTTTGTTTCATTGCTAGTCTGACTATAATAGTCAATTCAAATGCATTCAAACATAACGTAGATCCGCACATCTGTAACTGGCGCTGCCGTCTTTGAGCCTCAAGCGAGGGGAACGCAGACCTCATACTATTTTCTTCGCGCCATCCAAGGCTGGGTTCCATGTTCGCCTATCCTGCATCAACTGCTCAAGGCTGGGATAGAGCGAATGGACCTTTCCTGGGAGAAATGCAGTGCAACGCGTGTATGGTCACAGAATTCTGCCCTGGCTGTGCTGTGAGTAAATACGTTTGTGAAAGGATAAGTCGTATCCTGCTTCTAGGAGTGTACAAATCTGTCGAACAAGGTCAACAAGTGCACCCTCGTTTAGAACTGATCAAATATGGGAAGGGCCCCCACGAGGAGCTTGGTCGACGACGTCGATCATCGTCAAGTCTGTCGGTCTAGGTGGGCTTCCGGAAGCCCGATAAGTGTATCTTTCCCGAACGTACCCAGGAGGGACCCATCATTGACACACGGTTCAGCTTCTAAGCTGGATCCCTCCCCACGCTGTATCAAATGCTATTCTTGATGTGGCTTTCGCGGAAGAAGAGCCTCCCATTGCGGTTAATGTCGTACACCCGAGGCCGATAGCGTGAGGGGCAGTTATGCGGCCTGTTGTGCATGCGATAGTTGAGCATAAGGTCACAAGCATCTCGTTGCGTCTCGTTCCATTCTTGGTGTGACTTGAAAAGAGTGCCAAGGACGCGAAGGATGAAAATATTAAGCGTATCGTACGTGTGTTTCAATGGCTAGCAGAATGATTCCCACCTGACTTCGATTGCAGCCTGCTATCAAGCTTCTGAACTTCATGCGTTCCATGACACGATCAGATATCACGATCAGGGCATCTTGCGAGATGCCCTCAGAAGCAGGTGGCTTTAGCTTTACTCCATTCGCCACGGATGTGGCTCAGCGCGTCAGTCCGACGGTGAAGGACCTGGAGCCGCTGCCGTCGGCAGATGCAGTGAATACAGTGGGTGGACTATTGAGCGGCGGTGAGGATGTTGAAATGAATGAGCAGGCCGCAGGCAATCCCTGTATTTGCTTCTAACGCAATGTGGTTACTTGGAACTTGTACTGAGATAAGTCGGAGTCCTCTCAGGGCCATCTTACCCTTTTAGGTGGTTTCATCATGCATGCATTAAGTGCGTGCAGCTCCCGAACTTTCTAGCTGAGCAGATGGTGGAGTAATCCATTTGGGTGCTTTGCACGAGAAGGGCCCACGATTCTCTGATTGTCTTCTGTTTGGGCGAGGGACTAGCTATTAGAGCTGGTGATACCCTGTAACCTCCCGTAATGGGTAGCGCTAGGGTTCAAATAGCAAGTCGAAATCATGGGAAGACGTGTCTCTCCACAGGACAGCCTTCTTGGAATCGGATCTGATTCGAATAAGGACAGAATGCGGCACGCGGTCGACTGCAAACTTGAGAGATAAGCTAAAAAGTATCACTGTTCATCTCCGACGTCCTCGAGTATTGTCGACGACAGCTGTCAAACACGTACTGATCATGCATGGCCGAGATGAGAGTGCCTTTGAGTTGTTCACGTGAAACGAAACTGCAATCAAAAAAAAAAAAAGAGATGGCAGGCAGAATTCCGGTGGCCCGGCACGTGGCGACCCAAATTGTGCGGTTTGCTTGTTAGGCTGGTGATCACCTTATAATGAACCTACTGTGCCAGGGCCTGCGCCATTGCTGTGTATCTTCCGTGGCCTCCACCTTGCTTCCTGGATAAATTTGAAGACTTGTATCGCGGCTAACACCAGGATTTTGTAATTTTACTGCCCAATTATAGGCCCAAGATCACTCAGGTGCGCTGCATTCATTCACTGCGCCACCGCCCGTAGTAATAGACTGTTTGAATTCTCTCTCAGACCCTGTGAAACAATGGCCATGGACTGTCCACTTCTCGTCTGGATGCTCTCACTGAATCGTGATGTATTGACAGAGGTCTGACCAATATTGTTGTTGATAGTCCAGCGCCTGACCTTGTCTCTTCAGGAATACGACAAATGTTTTCACCTTGTGCAGGATTGCGTCCCTCATGCCAGACTGCCGTACCAGCCTACTTCTATAGATTCTTTTCGTGAGCACCACTCCACTACTCGCTTGATTTGGGTTCTGACGGCTCAGCAGGACAGCTTATTTGCCACATGTTACCCCTTCTTATGATGCGCCACCGACGAATATCGCGTGCAAAATGGAAAGACTGCGTCACCTCGAATGGAAAGCACTGGATCGAGCAGGTGAGTGGTGGTCATCGACTCTCAGAGTACCATAACTCATCGATGCTTATTGCACTTCCCTACAACAGTCACCGGATGACATGCCCCCAGAAAAATTTCTACAGTCCATGATTGGATACCACCTCGCATATGACAACTCACTCTGCGGCATGGTGATGACGCAGGGACGGCAGCGCCAAGTAATAAACATCGGGTTGGGCATTAAACAGATTTCGGTAGAGCCCAAGGGTGTCTCAGTAGCAGCCTACGCTGAATCCTTTGCACATAAAGTAAGCCAAAAGACAGGCACAGAATATCACCAAAGACTAACGAGCTACCGGCCACAGCTGACCCCGCTAGAGATGACCTTCCTCAATCCTGAACTCGGGGACGAAGTCGTCCTCCGGCGCCTCTCCATCCTCCTCTCGCTTAAAGCGGCATATATCAAAGCTGTTGGCCAGAGCACCGCTTTCGACTGGTCACGCCTCGAATTCAACATTCCCTCCGAGTCTGCGCGTGGTGATGACCACCCACTACAGGGATGGGAGTTCCGTGTATTCAAGGCTCAACTCGGCGTACAACGCATGGGTGGGGTCATGCTCGAGGAATCGTATCAGTGTGCATGCGCGTTCTTCAGGGGTACGAAGGAGTCCAAATTCATCTGGCATGATAACGCGAAAGATCTAGAGGCTTGGGTCCAGTTCATCAACATCGACCAGATGGTCAAAGTGATTCCGAAACTACGCGCGTAGTGAAACCGGGCGTGATTGCTCCCTCAACTCATATCATTTCACTGCACTTGCTTGCTATTGTTATACCATGTTTCCTGCCGCAGCTGACACTCGTTGCATGATATCTCATACCCTCTAATACCTGTTACCATTATTTAGGAAGGAATCTGAATGTGATTCATTGCAATCAAAGCTGGGGCAGGGAACTCAAGACATTTTGTACATAGTTTGAAAGTAATGCTGTAATAGCAGGGAGACCATGACATGTAGACCTTCGACTTTTTAAATCATCCTTGAAGTGGGGAGGTCGACCGATTGGATTCCGAGGAAGCCGCGGACTCTTCCGGGATGGGAGGCCCTGTATAGTGAAACCGGCCATCTAAACCACAATAAGCAAGTTGCCAAAGTGCAAACAAAAAACCTACTGATCAAATACCACACAGCACTGATCACCCCAAAGCCCACAAACACTACCGAAGCATAGTCTAACCGATTCTATTTAGCGTCTCAGCCCACACACGCAAGACAAAGACACCCACTCATCGAAACCCTCGTGACTGGGATGACAGCAGGCATTGAGAATAGCACCATAGCGAACATGATCCACAGCACTGCGACTGCATTGATCGCGGTACCGAACCTGCCAAGGTTGAATGGGGCATCGTGCATATCTCGCCGGGCGTTCATCAGCGACATCGCAACGGGCATGGCGTAGGATGCTCCGAGGCACATGACAGCGACGCCCACAAAGGCGTTGAACGCCGCCGTGGAGCCGAGGTAGATGAGTCCAAGGAGAATCTGGATGACGGTGGAGAGTAGTAGGGCATTGACGGGGACATCGTCGAGGTAGGGACTGATCTTTGAGAACAACTGATGAAATGGGATGGCTTTATCGCGTGCAAACGCCCATGTTGCGCGAGAAGCGGCGCAAGATATGGAGATCGCACAAAACATACCGATACCAAATACTTCGAAAAGTGAGATAAGAGGGCGAGGTTACTTGGTAGAGACCAATTGTGACCTACCAATGAACCACTGAACACCAATCCAAATCAGGGATGCAGCACCGGACGAAAGGTCACGACAGACTCACCAGCCCGAAACCACCAGCCTTGGAGCCCATGATCAAAGTAAACATTACACCAATTGGTTGACCAGAAGAAACTGATTGACATATATACATGAGAAGCACAAGTTCTTCCAGCGTGAAACTAACCTTGAAGCAAAGTGTCGATATCCGGGAGCGTGAAAAGGATTGGCAGAAGGAATACTATGCCAGATAATGTGCCAATGGGTATGGACCAGGTGATAGCCTTCGGGAGTATTTCAGAAGGGTTGTGAACCTCTTCGGCCATGTTGGTAACTGGTTTCGAGGTGTAAGTCAGTGAACACGGTGCAAAGGCATTGACATACTCATTCCTATAGCAGAGTATGTGTATGCTAGGACGTTGTTCAGCTCTGAGTCTTACAGCTTGATAAATAACAGCTTCTCACCAGGCTGTTAAATGCATCGTGAGTATCGAGTAAGGGCTTCAATGTCTAACAGCGATCATACCGGTAATGTACCAATAAAGAAAGACCACCCAGGCGTCCATCCTGAATAAGACGCATCAAAATGTCCAAGCGCAAAAGAGATAGAATGGCGTCCTGCCGCAGCCTTGACGGATACACATATCAAGATTACTTGAAACGACTCAACTCAGCGCACAGGGACGAGTTGCAATGCAAAACGTACCGATGATGCCTAAACCAGTCCAGCAAGCGCAAATAATCTGGCAACGTATAAATTTCAGAGTAGATCCGTAAGTGAGAGCTTACATCGATGGCCGGCAGGTGCTTGTTGAAGAACAGGCAGAACAAACAGGCAACAGCGGTCACGCCGAGGAAAATCATATCTAGAATGAGTCACAGACCGGTCAGAAAACCATATTGATAGACTATAGATGAAGCCTTGCATGTTTGCCACGCTGTTGCAGTCCATTCAGGATGGTATATTCCGGCACCAGCCACAATAAGTTGAGCAGTTCCTGATAGACTGCATCAGTTATACTCGGAAGGGTGTGCACAGGAAGTAATACCAAATGTGACACTCAGAGCAATCGTCCAAACACCAACGACTGTCAACCAGCCATTGATCCAAGAGGCAAGAACTCGCGTGTGTGGAGATCCAAGTCGATAACACCAGTAGTATGCCCCTGCTGATGTAGGATATTTGGAGCATATCTCTGCAAGTGAAAGAGCCAGTGTTTGGGTCAAGATTGACACCAGAATCCATCTGCACTGTGTCAAATCATGTTCGAGCTATAAAGGGTAAATTTACCCCCATATCATTACCGCTGGACCACCTCCAACGAGCGATGTTGCGATAGGAGCCGCAAGACCATATGCTGCGAGGGGCGTCAGTCGTAGTATTCATCGAGATTGCTGCTTAAACGCACGGACTGCCATGATTGCTAATTGAATCGTTGAACTAACAGATCAGGATGTGTCTTCGCTTGAACTAAAGAACTGACCTAGCGTCACTTTTTGGAATGTATATTAATTTCCGCGACACGACGAGAAGGGCGCCCTACTCACTGAACAATATGTGTACCAGTCCTCTAGACTAGTGACGACCAAAGGCATGAAATGCGGATCAAAGTGAACAAGAACAAGCACAAACCCGTTTCATCTCCTGCTTGTAGCCTAGCTTCTCCAGCCCGACACGGGCACCAGCGTCCACATCGACTGAATCTTTCAAGCTCATTGTGGTAGCACAATGAAAGGTAACGGCATCCGATATGGGGCAAGGGGCGACGCATATATTGCTCCGGATGCGAACAGAACTCCAGCTTGGGAATAAAAATTACCTATCATACTCATGCGGTTTAGATGCGCAGCGGCCCTTGTGGAGAACCTTACGAGCGGCTGATAAGCAAGGGGTGTCCATCAGCACGGTGAAAAGAACTACAGTGAGAGTTCTTTTCGCGTCCCACTACACCTCGTGACCACATTAATGGTGTACTAGTAGACTCTGAGGGACGAGGGCGGCACTAGAACCGATATACTTACAGGAAAGGATTCTTCGGCTGCGTTTTTCCAGGTTCCACGGTTGGGAATTCTATCCCAGAGTGAGGTACGATTGTAGGGTTAGGGTTCGTATAGCGGCTGTGCAGCATATGGCTTCTTCCTCAATCACACAGCACCCAGGATACACTCCAGCAAGCTCCGGCGCCCTGTCTGCAGCCAGCCGCCTTTCTGATTTTCTTTTCCATAAACTTCGGTGAGCTTTGATGGCTCAGGTCCGAACTTGTGTGCCATCTGCATGCAATGAAGGCAAGTCCGACGGGGAAGCCGGCCATCATAAGTAAAGAGCACTCGAAGGTGCTATAGCATTGCTCTCTCAAGCTTACTCATGTAGGAAATTCACCGTTGTGAACTCTCTCACCACAGAACCTGATAAAGGAAGGAATCATTCACCCAGTCAACATGACACTTTCTGCCAGTGGCAAACGAGCGACCCCAAAGTACCCTCCTTGCCAACACCTGCTGCTGTGCGCATGTATATTCGCGCACTTCCGTGGACATGAATGTATGCATTGATGCAGATGCCCACAATTATGCTCACGCGGATGCCTCCTTACTACCTTTGTTACTAACCGTCTCCTTATCTAGCCTCACCTTGATGCGCCGCTTTGCGGCTCCCATGATCTGGGGATCCGAGGTTCACTTCGCTGCGTCGCATTTACTCCTACTAATGTAGGAATAGCGGCTCACCTTGGCTCACTTTTGCATAGGTCGGGTAACTACCGGGGCCGGGTTGCCCCTGCGGGGCTTCTGCCCGAAAGAAACCACCAGCTTGCAATCAAACATACAGTTTCTCCCGTTCTCAATGCTTACACAACTGTACAAGAGCGCCCACAAAGTCAGGCACCTGTGATGAAACCAGCGGTCCGTCTATTACCGAGACTAGCGGACAATCAACGCATGATCAAAATGCGTCTCTTGGCACTTTAGTTCCCTGCCTTCTATCTTATCTGTTCTATCGCTACAGAATTATCTATTTCCTTCTGGAGCTTCGCCAAAATCCTCGGGTCTAGCTCAAGGTGTTGCTGACATTAGATCAAATGTACTTGCAACCACAAAATCACCCTTGGAGTGGTACTAGGCTTTGACTTTGGAAAAACGGGGTTTTCACCACCATGCGACATCTAGTCTAGTCTAACACAACATCATGTCTATAGACTCTGCACAATGGCTTAACTGCTATAATAATCACAATCATATGCATGGGAGACCGAAAGGCGAGAGCTACCATGCGCTGACACCTTGATCTTGACCACTATCGTTTGATGATAGTATCTCCACGATTGTCGCTTAGAATCATTTCAATGTAAAGCAGAGTCCGAGGATCCAGACGAGCTAGTTGAATCTTCCTGGATTGGAGGTCCTCTATAATAAAACTGGCCGTCTGAATCACATTAATCCCACGAAGTTCCCGAACGGCAAGCAAACAACCTACTGATCATATACCACGTTGCACTAATCACCCCGAACCCCCCAAACACTACCGAAGCATAATCTACCCGTACACATTCAGTGCATCAACCCACCCACTTGAGCAAAAACCACTCACTCATCGACCACATCGTTACTGGGATGACAGCAGGCATCGAGAATAGCACGGTGACAAACATGATCCACAGCACTGCGACTGCATTGATGACGGTACCGAAGCTACCAAGATTGAATGGGGCATCATGCATGTCTCGCCGGGCGTCCATCAGCGAGATGGCAATGGGCATCGCGTAAGATGCTCCAAGACACATGACGGCGACTCCTGCAAAAGCGTTGAATGCAGCTGAGGAACCGAGGTAGACGAGTCCAAGGAGAACTTGGATCACGGTGGAGAGTGCATACGCGTTCACGGGGACATCTCCAAAGTAAGGGCCGATTTTGGAGAAGCACCGATGAAATGGAATAGCTTTATCACGTGCGAACGCCCATGTTGCACGAGAACTGATACATGACGTGGACATTGAACAAAACATACCGATACCGAATACTTTGGAAGGTGATGAGAAAGCTAGGCTAATCAGTGGTGGAGATCAATTGTAACGTACTAATGAACCACTGGATACCCCGCCAAATCAGAGATGCAGCGCGCCGGACGAAAGGCCACGATAGACACTCACCAGCCCGAAACCACCAGCCCTGGAGCCCATGATCAAAGTGAACATGACACCAATAGGTTGACCGGAAGAAACTGGATGGCATATTACGTGAGGAGCACAAGTTACCTCAGCATAAAACTAACCTTGAAGCAATGTGTCGACATCTGGGATTGTGAAAAGGATTGGCAGAAGGAATAATATGCCAGATAATGCGCTAATGGGTATGGACCAGGTGATAGCCTTCGGGAGTATTTCAGAAGGGTTATAAACCTCTTCGGCCATATTTGTGACTGATTCTTGAATATCAGCCGGGTAAATATGGTCATGACCGCTGTTAGAGACGTACTCATTCCTATACCGGAATATGTATATGCTGAGACATGGTTCAGCTCCCTAACCCACTGTGATAAATAACGTTAACATCTTACCAGGCTGTTTTGATACATTGTGGTAATATTGAGTATGAGTTGTCATAAGTAATAGCGATCGTACCGGCAATATACCGATGAAGAACGACCATCCAGGCGTCCATCCTGAAAATGAGGGATCGAAGTTCCCGAGCGCGAAAGAGGCGGGATGACGGCCTACTGCGGCCTTGGCTAACAAGCATATCGAGATAACTTCAAACATCCAAATTTAGGATAATAATAGGCAGAACAGTCACGGGTAAAACGTACCGATGATGCCTAAACCCGTCCAGCAAGCACAAATAATCTGGCAGGCTATGGGTATCTTGGCAACAATAAACAGGTAAGGACCTACATCGATGGTTGGTAGGAGCCTGTTTAAGAATATGCAGAATATGCTAGCAATGGCAGTCACACCGAGGAAAATCATGTCTACATCGGGGAACTAAGTGGTCAGCAAGCGCAAATATTACTACACAGAAGGATCCTTACATGTTTGCAATGCTGTCGCGTCCCATTCAGAATAATATATTCCGACTCCGGCAACAACAAGTTGAGCAGTCGCTGGGAAAATGCGTTACTGATATAGGTAATCGGAAGTGACAAAGCATAGGGATAAATACCAAATTTGACACTCAAATCAGCTGTCCAACTACCAACGACCGTCAACCAACCATTGATCCAGGAGGAAAGAAGTCGCGTGCGGGGGGACGCAAGTCGATAACACCAGTAGTATGTCCCTGCTGATGTAGGATATTTGGAGCATATCTCCGCCAGTGAAAGAGCGAGGGTTTGGGTCAGGACTGAAACCAGGATCCAACTACAATATGTCAAATCACGTTCTAGATAAGGTGGAAAGTGTACATTTACCCCCATATCATTACCGCTGGACCACCTCCAATGAGCGACGTTGCTATAGGCGTTGCAAGACCGAATGCTACCAGAGGGTAAGTCGTGGCGTTGAGAAAATCGCTGCTCAGACATACGGACTGCCATGATTGCTAACCAAATCATTGGGTCAACGGTTCAGTGGGCAGTTTCGCTCAAGCCGGTAGACTGACCTAGCGTCACTTTTTTTGGAAGCATTCAATTTTTGTGACGCAGTGAAAGGAACGCTCTACTCACTGAACAATATTTGTACTAGTCCTCGAGACTAGCAACGACCGCGAACATCACATATTTATCGAACAGGAACAAGCACAAGCACAAACCCGTGTCATCTCCTGCTTGTAGCCTAGCTTCTCCAGACTATCCCGGGCGACAGCGTCCGCGTTGACTTGATCTTTGAAGTTCATCTTGAGGGCACAATGGGAGAAAGAGGCAGTAGACCCATATGCGAAGGAGAAATTTATGTACCAAGTGCTAACAAAAATGCAACGTGGCACCTGGGCTTTTGGACGGGGAACTGTTTATCATATTCATGCACTCCACGGGTGCCTCCGCCGTGGGACGCCCGTTGAGAAGTGGTACAACCTATTCAATAGAAATGCGTCAATATCGTAGCAAGTGCGACAGAAGACGATTCATGTTCCCACACCACTTGCGAATGGCGGAAGTGTATGGGTTATTTGGGTTTATCATACCGCAGACAAGTAAACGTGCACCGAGAAAACGAATGATAGTGAGGAGGAAATAGTAGGACGCCTATTGGGGATCTGCACACACATATAGCCACTTTGGAAACTCGAGCCTCGTTCGTGGTTATCAAAAGCAGGTGGTATACTCAACTGCGCCAGCGCCCGACATTCGAAACTGAGCGGTGTTACCCGTACCGGGGTCCAGAGATGTGACGGTGTCTCTTGGATCCGAGACCTGAGGGTCTCGTTCTACGGAGTACGATATAGAATTTTGAATTTTGCCATGATTGGCAGACTTTCCCGTCATTTGGCCACTGCAGATATATATCACAAAGGTGCGAAATGACAGTGGGTTCAATATATTGGATAGTCATTGGATACATCAACGTGTGTTAGCCAACAAACGTTAAACCCCATAATCCAACGTGCTGAACTCACCCCCATTTGAAGACCAAAGCCGGACTACATTATTATTCTCTTGAGCCTGACTCACATTGCCGAAATGCGCCACGAAGAATATTGCCTTTAGGATCTGCTAGAGTTATCAGTGCAACGTCACAAGACCGCGATGGCGTACCGTAATGGGCGTACATGCGGCTGAATATTTCT